GCCTGACACGTGCTGGCCTCCGCAGCATTTTGAGTCCCATCTGAGTGACTTCCATCATTTTTACTGTCCGTGGGGTCAGTGATGGAGGCCTAGGTGATACCTTGAAAAGGGGCCGGAGTAGATGCTGAGGCATGGTGTGTACAGGTGTTGGGACTCCTCATGGGTGGTTGTAGGAGATCCCTCCTGGTGCCCCTGTCCACTTAGCACCAGCCCAGTGTGGGAACTCCCGAGGTGGCCTCTCCATGTGATAGGCATGATCCCTGAGTGGGACCCCTCTATGTCTTGAGGGCAAGGCAGAGAGAAGAGCAGCTGCCAGGAGCAATTGGGAGAACAAAGTAGGCATTGGGAACCATGGAGGAGCAGAGGCTATTTTACAGAGGGATGCTGAACCAGGACAGAGAGCCTCTGAGGATGGGTGATGCCCTGGGCCCAGGAACGCCACAGGGCCTAAGTGGGACTATAGCTTGGGCCCCTCCCCTGTGCTGGGAGCGGAGGGCAGTACGGGCAGAGCAGGCCGGCATGGGGCTGACGTTGTTCTGCTTCTCTTTTGTGTAGGTAGGGAACCTTGGTCTTCTTTTCATGCTCCTGTTTTTTATCTATGCTGCCCTGGGAGTGGAGCTGTTTGGGAGGCTAGGTGAGTGTGGCCACTCTGTGCCTCTCCCACAAGGTGATACTGGTCCCCAGGGAAGGTGGCTCTTGTCTCTGCCCCACCCCACCTTCCCACAGGTTTATGGAGTGTGAAGGGTACTGGCCTAGACCAAGTAGGCCACAAGCATTCTAGTGTGTCCTCAGACTGCCTGACTCTGCTCACCTTCACCTTGCCAGCCCAGTATTTAAAGCAGGTACCTGTGCAGACAGACATGCCCGCTAGGAAGCATGCCCCCAGATCTGTGGTGCACGTGTCTACACTCCAGCCAGGGCCACGTTCCAGGGTGAATGTGTGCACTGGAAGACTTGCACACACTAGCACATACCCATGCCTCACCCTGAACACTGTCCCCAGCAAAGGTTGCTAGCAATATGGCTTCTGTATTATTGCCTAAGACACGTCTGAGACTGTATTCTGTCTAGGCTAGGGCATGTTAGGAACTGCTCCACCCTTCCACTAGCTATGAGGATCTTCTGGGGCTTTATTGTGCCCCAGTTGGACGGAGACCATGCAGGTTGTCACAGGAAATGTCTGCCCACCCAGAGAGCTGAGTCCAGGTTCTCACTCGGTCATCTCACACATCCACAGAAAATGTCTACAAAAAAAAAAAATCATTTCTTCCCTGCCTCCAAGACTCCCAGGATAGATCTGGTGGCCAGGCTTGGCAGCCAAACCACCTTGTGCCCCAGGGAACCCTATTGCTTGGTATATACCTGCCATGAGCAGAGAGACCAGGCTTAAGGCTTGGGACCACTTAGGAGCTCAGATGCTGCTATCTAGTGTAGAACAGAGGCCTGGGCCCCAGGTTCCAAACACACACACCCCAGCCAGCCCCATGTGGGATGTAGTCTGCTGACCATGACCCAGTCTCACAGAGGCAGGATTGCTCAGTGGGCAGGACTCTTCCTTTCAGAATGCAGTGAGGACAATCCCTGTGAGGGCCTGAGCAGGCACGCTACCTTCACCAACTTTGGCATGGCCTTCCTCACACTGTTCCGAGTGTCCACCGGGGACAACTGGAATGGGATCATGAAGGTAAATGTGGGGCCACTCTTCCCTCCCCACTTCCTGGCTCTGACAGGGAGGGAAGACAGAGCCATGACCCTGCCGCCCAACCTAGGACACTCTACGTGAATGTGCCCGTGAGGACAAACACTGCCTCAGCTACCTGCCCGCACTGTCTCCCGTCTACTTCGTCACCTTCGTGCTGGTTGCCCAGTTTGTGCTGGTCAATGTGGTGGTGGCTGTGCTCATGAAACACCTGGAGGAGAGCAACAAGGAGGCCCGTGAGGACGCCGAGATGGATGCCGAGATTGAGCTGGAGATGGCTCAGGGGTCCACAGCCCAGCCCCCATCTGCAGCACAGGTAAGGCTTCCCCTGGGCTCTGGGTGGTCCCAGGGCTTCTGGGATGCTGCTGAGCTGATAAGCCAAGCCGTTTTCCTCACCACAGGAAAGCCCAGGTTCCCAGCCAGACACTCCAAACCTCTTGGTCGTGCGCAAAGTGTCTGTGTCCAGGATGCTCTCGCTGCCCAATGACAGCTACATGTTCCGGCCCGTGGCTCCCGCTGTCGTCCCACACCCTCAACCACTGCAGGAAGTGGAGATGGAGACCTACGCTGGTAGCGTCTCTTCGGGTATGGACTCTGGCAGGGGCAGTGGGGAAGCAGGACTGGGCAGGGAGGTTGGGCGGGTGGGGGACTGGACCGCATGGCAGGGAGGGCTGGAGGAAAGATGGGGGCCAAGCCCTCAGGCCATACATTCAGATGCATCCCTGACCCAGGCCCGGTCACCTCTGCTCACTCGCCGCCCCTGGAGCCCCGTGCCTCCTTCCAGGTCCCATCAGCTGCATCCTCCCCAGCCAGGGTCAGCGACCCGCTTCATGCCCTTTCACCCCGGGGTACACCCCGCTCTCTGAGCCTTTCACGGATACTCTGCAGACAGGTAAGGGAAACCTTTACCCCATGGGCCTTTGGGGCTCCCAGGGTTCCTTCTCCCATTCGGAGGGTTATCTAGGCTGAGGCCCAAGAGGGCACATGCTCCATGTATCCTTGAACTTGGAGTCTTCCATCTCTGCTTTAAAGGGTCTTGCGTCCTCAACCAGGTCCATCGACAGGCCAGCTGTGGTAGCAGAGCCCCTCATGGGGCTCAAGTCCCTTTCTTAGGCAGAAGCCTCAGACAACCACAGTGGCTAATGGGCCTGTACCTCCCAGCCTGGTTCATAGCCTCTGCCTGTCTCTTTCCCTCAGTTCCTACTGCTTGGCACAAGAGCCTTTTACAACATAGAATCTCCCGGGAACCTCCTGTTCTTGGGGTACAAGTTGAGCTGTGGGACTGTGGGGCTGAAGAGTGAAGAGGTGACCTGAGCCCTTTAAAGTTCTCCAGGCTCTGTGAGGCTGTCTTAGGAGTTTAGACGCCCCCAGGCCTCTTCTCCATGTTCTCCCAGTGTGGCAGATTCATCCTCTGACATCTCATAGGTCATTGGGTGAGGCCAAAGTCAGGGATGTTCACATCAACAGTTCCCAGTCCCACCTAACCCTGAGTCACCAGCCTGGAGGGTGAGAGCCACCCTGGGCTATTGCCAGTCTTGACCTTCCCAGGGCCCTGAGGGAAAAAAGGTGGTGCCTGACTGCTGGGTGCTAGATAGGCCTTTAACTTGGCCCTCCGTGTCATTTCAGGAGGCCATGCACACCGAATCCCTGGAAGGTCAGGTTGATGACCCTGTAGAAGACAACATCCCAGACCACACAGAGCCTGTTGAAAAGACCTCCACCAGACAGTTGTCTCTGGGCTCCCTACGGTCCCCTACTTGCTCCCCACGACCTGCCAGTGTCCGTACTCGCAAGCACACTTTTGGGCAGCGCTGCATCTCTAGCCGCCCTCCCACCCTGGGAGGAGATGAGGCTGAAGCGGCGGACCCAGCTGACGAGGAGGTCAGTCACATCACCAGCTCAGCCCACCCCTGGCCGGCTACAGAGCCCCACAGCCCAGAGGCCTCCCCAACAGCCTCCCCTGCTGCCAAAGGTATGGTGGGTAGTGGGCGGGACCCACGCAGGTTCTGCAGTGTAGATGCTCAGAGCTTCCTGGACAAACCGGGTCGGGCAGATTCACAACGGTGGCACTCTGTGGAACTGGATAGTGGAGACAGCTACCTAGAGTCCGGGGAGGGGAGGGGTCGGGCCTCAGAGCTGGAGCCAGCTCTTGGAGCACGAAGGAAGAAGAAGATGAGCCCTCCCTGCATCTCCATTGAACCTCCCACTGAGGATGAGGGCTCCTCCCGGCCCCCTGCAGCCGAAGGTGGCAATACTACCCTGAGGCGCCGAACCCCATCGTGTGAGGCTGCCCTACACAGGGACTGCCCAGAGTCCACAGAGGGCCCAGGCACTGGAGGGGACCCTGTAGCGAAGGGTGAGCGCTGGGGCCAGGCCTCCTGCCGAGCAGAGCACCTGACTGTCCCCAACTTTGCCTTCGAGCCTCTGGACATGGGGGGACCTGGTGGAGACTCTTTCTTGGACAGTGACCAAAGTGTGACCCCAGAACCCAGAGTTTCCTCTTCGGGGGCTATAATGCCTCTTGCACACCATGGAACTGAACCTTCTGTGCCCTCTGGTAACCCCCCAGAGAAGGGACAAGGACTGTACCTCACTGTGCCCCAGACCCCCTTGAAGAAACCAGGGTCTCCCCCAGCCACCCCTGCCCTAGATGACAGTGGAGATGAGCCTGTGTAGATTGGGTTGCGTGTTCACAGAGCTTTGGCATTCAGGTTGGTGGCTCCCTGCAGGGTGGTAGCCCCAGTCAGGGCCATGAGTGGACCCTGGCTCAGGCCCCACTGAGGCAGAGGGACCCGGAGACGTCATCCCGGGAGAGGCAGCAGGCACTCAGTCTCTGCACCATGACACAGGAGCAGCCTCGGGCCCCACGAGCCTCCCTCGTGGTGATTCAGGTTTGGGTTTCCCTGAGTTTTAACCACCGCCATCTGAAGTCGTACCAGGACCAGGTTATCAGTCTCAAGAGGAGAGACTATGTCCTGAGAAGGACCAGAAACTCCTCATGGGCAGGAGGGCACTGCAGATTCCCATAGGGAGCACACGCTTGAGCCCCTTGTGCCCTGGTGGGCAGACATGTCCTGTAGCCACCACAACTGATGCCCCCTTCATTCACAGCCTTTGTCTGTTCATCACTCAGCGTTCTTTCTCTCACACAGCCCCTCTCCCTGTTCCATCCTCTTAGATGGTCTAGAAACTTCTCAGTGACCCAGGGAAGGGCCACATCACCAAGGGGTACTGGCTGGTGCAATAAGACATCACAGTCCCAACTGAACGGGGCTTCCCCTTCCATCACAGGCCTTTGGCCTTGACATTCATTCACCATCTGTTTGCTTTATGTCATCCATTTTACAAATTCAGGTTAAACATCGCAATAATCTGATGCAGAAAACTTGGCTTCCTAAGTCAAAGATAAGGGGAGGGAAGGGGCAAAGCAAAGCTGAATAAACACTAACTTATTTAAGGAATATACTTGGGTTGTGACACCTGAGTCAGAGGTCTGAAGTTGGGCGGGAGGGAGAGCCTAGCCAGGATCCCCTCAGCCAGCACTTGGCCATCAGGACTCCAGAGACCAGCAACAGCAGGAGGCTGGGCAAGAAGAGGCCAGCCAGGAGGGGGATCCAGGAAACCCCTGGTATTCCTGAGCCCCCTGATTCTGGAATATGGTGATGGATCCAGTTTACGTAGGCTGTAACTCGAGTATAGACACCAGGCCGGTTGGGGCGGCCACAGCCCTCACCCCAGCTGACCACGCCAGCCTGCTGCCAGGTCCCAGACACCCGGCAGACTAATGGCCCTCCAGAGTCATCCTGCAGGACAAGTCAGAATGAGGATGGGATACCAAGGACTTGGGGACCCCTATCATGCTTCAGGCTGTGCCATCCTGATTGTCATCCCTCCGTGTTCCCAGCCAGCTCACCTGGCAGGCATCCCCCGGGCCCTGGGCACATAGCATGTCTGGCTGGATGATGGTGCCATTGGGACTACTGTAAGCCTGGCTGCAGGTCTCTACATCCACCACAGAGACCTCTGCCTCCTGCAGGTTATATGGGGGCTTCAGAGGCTCTGAGAGAAATGAAAGTTCAGGAGGAAGTTGAATAACCAGCTCTGCACTGCAGGAGTGGGCAAGAGGCAGGCACATCCCCCATGCAGTTACCAGCCTCTCACCACACTGACCTTGTCACCCCATTCTATGGGTCAGATGTGGATCTTGGCAGAGACCAGTATATAATCAGCTTTGAGGAGGAACAGGTGTGGCCACTAGGAGCAAGCGATAGCACCAGTGGCTCCTGCTTCCACCCAGGTGGTCTTTGCCTTCCCTTATCCCCATTGGAGAGGGTTTCAGAAAGGGCTCCTTACCTCCCTCCTGTGTATGGCCCCAGCCTGTCACCCAGCATCGCATCCCGGGGTAGAAGTCAGCTGAGGCCTCTGGGAGGCACACAGGCTGGACCCAACTGGAGAGGGCCACAGGGGTGCCCAGCTGCACCAGGGCTATGTCTCCATTGGACCCTGGTGGTCCTGGGGGGCTAGAGTACAGGATGATCTGCTTCACAGAGGAGAAATGGGGAGACAGGGTGATCGTCAGCTCTCCCAAGTGCACCTGGTAATCAGATGAGTTCACAGACCTGGGGGGAGGGTGTAAGGGAGAGATGGAAGTGTCCCTCTCGAACAGTGACTAACCTCCCTCCACCCACCTCTGCCAGTGTCCAATGCCCCCTTGGCCTTGTCCTCAGCTCTAGGCATAGAAACAGCTACTGTGTCCATGGGGCCAAAGTCTGGCAGTGCCTCACACTTCAGGGCCCAAGGACAGCCAGCCTCTGGCTGGAAGGTGTCCAGCACATGGGGGTGGGGGGCAACAACTGTCCTAAAACGGGTAAAGGCAGTTCTGGAAGTACGAAAGATAAGTAGAAGAGCTTCAGGCTGACTAGGTCTAGGATACTTCCTGAATAGAAGCTGGTTAAGTGGCCAGAATTACTCCATCAAATGCTGCTTGCCCTGGACTGGCGGATGTGGGATAGGGGACCCTATCCCACTGAGGCTGCACACTGCTGCTTCAGGTGGGCGGACCTTAATGTGTTTTTCTTTATTGAAGAAAGATTAATACACTCAAGGGTGTGAATCACAGGCTAAGCAAGGACCTGCTTGCTGTCACTGTCCCATAAGCCCAGGCAGTCAGGCTTTGTCGGGTCACTCACCCAGAGAAGCAGTGGGCTGCTGTGAGCACCCATTCTGGGCTGAGCAGGGACCCTCCACACACATGCACCTTCTGCAGACGGAGGCTAGCCTGCCATGGCCATATGCCAGCTGAGGCAGCTTGGCCTCCCACGATTCGACTTCCTGCATGCGAAACCTGGGGCTGGCCACACCCTGATCCAGAGGAGGCACTGTTGGCTAGGGAATCCCAGAGACTGGCATTCTGCCTTTCCTCTAGGAGCCCTCCATGATTCCCACTCCTTAGCATCTTAAATGTCTCTGCTCCCTGTCTGCTGGTCCCTTCCCTCAGAAATATTGTGGGGTGCAGGGGTTCTCAACCTTCACAATGCTGTGACCATAAAATCATTTTCATTGCTACTTCATAGCTGTAATTTTGCTACTGCTATAAATCCCAATGTAAATAACTGATGTGCAGATGGACTTAGGCGACCCCTGTGAAAAGGTTGTTTGACCCCCTCAAAGGGGTCATGACTCACAGGCTGGAAATTGATGCCCTAGAAGCAATAAGTTTATGGATCTTGGTGTCTGAGCATGGCCCCATAGGACGCGGCAGTCCTCCTTAGAAAGCCGGCTGGGTGGAGCTGGGGCAGGCAGCTTACTGCCTGGAGTTAAGGGGGTGAGAAAGGGCTGAGAGTGCTGGGAGCTATGAAGGCCCAGGAGGCTGGGGGTGGGGGAGGAGGTACCTCCGTGGAGAGAGTGGGGTTTCCTTTTAGAGTGAAGTTTGGAACTAGATAGATGTAATATCACAAAACACTGGAAATGTGTTAAATGCCACCAAATGCTACACTGTATCATGGCTAAATTTGATGGACTTCACCCTAATTTTTTTTTTAATGAAAAGTAGAGTAGCTGGGCAGTGCTGGTGCATGCCTTTAGTCCCAGCACTGGGGAGGCAGAGGCAGTTGGGTCTACAAAGCTACAAAGAGAAACCCTGTCTTGAAACACCCCCCAAAAAAAAAGTTGAGGCCGTCCCTTCCCATAGGGGAGGGCTTCACTCTTAATCTGTAGGACAGAATGAAATTGGAAATTGGGTCCACGCTGCTAGAAGGAATGGAAGCAGACTGCATCCTTTACCCCAGAACACCAGGTAAGTCCTAAAGAAGGCTAACAAGATGCCCCGGGGAAAGTCTCTCCCAAGATCAACGTCAGCAGAAGAAAGGGTGAAGGGCCAGCAGCTTGCACAGGAGATTCAAAGTAGCTCTCAAAGATACAAAATAGCCAAAATAGAGGTGCAGCTTCCCAGGTGAAGCCAGCCTGTGTTTTATCAGCCAGGGTACCAGAGGTGCCTGTGGCAAGTACATGGCCTCCCTAGGCCAGCCCACCCATCCCCCACCATAGGCTGTCCTCCTGTGGCCTGTCTGCCAGAACTAGCCTCTAATCCCGAAACATCTGTTGGGAACATACCTGACTGTAGAGTCTCATGAGAGATACCTGAAGGACAGAGACAAAAGGGTTAGGTGTGTTGTTCATGAGAATGACTCTGGTTCCCTGGGCCTAAGCATTGTCCCCCACAATGTCCAAGATGACCCTAAGGTGGATGTTCCCACCCTGAGCAGCTAACGCTGGTATCTAGCCAGATAGGTGGGGCCCTGCCAGGTAGATGTGGCCTGACCAGCTGCCATCCCAGTCCTGAGTACAGTGAGACCAGCCATGGGCCATAAACAACAGCTGGGAAGCACCAAGTACTGCCCCAGCCTTAGTCCCTCCCAAACTCTATCTAGGTCCTCCTAGGAGGGTCTTACCAGGGTCTGGGCCTGTAGGTGGCCCCACACCCACACCCCAAGCCTCTGTCCCCAGCAATGATGGCCAAGCTACCCAGACGAGGGGCCCAGACAGAGCAGAGGCCCACCAGGAAGAACTTGGCTTTTGCCCACCTAAGTTCGGACTCCAAGGTCCCCAGAGCCCTCTACAGAACCAGAACCGAAACTCAGAGCTCCAGCCAGGGGCTGGTGGAAAACAAGGTGAATCCAGGGGGTGTTCAGAGAGGAAGCAAGCCCACCTTCCCCACCCCCACCCCAGAGCAGAGTATAAATACAATGCCACACTGACCCCAAGCCAGCTCACTCACCAGAAACAGCCAGAAGTAGGAAGCCCAGAGGCCCCAGAGCCATGGTGTCTACCCACAGCAGAGCCAGGACCTGCCAGTGTGGGGAGGTGTAGGAATGGTTTCACACCTGCTGTAGGGAGGGAGAAGGAAACATTCTCCCCACCTGACCCTGTTGCATACCACAGGGAGGGGCCGTCAACTTCATTTGTCTCACAGGAAGGCTACACCCAGCCTTGGCAGCAAGGGACAAGTTCAAGAACTCAGAAAATAATAGGAACAGAGGGCTCAGCTACCCCCAGCACAGCCCGAGCTTCTCTTGCCCCACTGTGGAGAGGAGGCATGCAGGCTTGCTTCCTGCTGAGCAAGCATCTCCACTCTCCAGCATCTCCACTCTCCAGCATCTCCACTCTCCAGATGCTCAGCCCCAAAGCTCTTCAGAGAGGCCCAGATCTCTATGATGACACAACCTCCTCCTTGTCCCTGTTCTCATGTCCAACCCTGAGTCCCCTAACACCTCAGATAAATAGACCCTGTGCAGGGCTTCTGGTCTGTCTGGGGCCTGATGGGCAGCTGGCCAGGGGTGAAGCCAGAGTCAGGAACATCTCCCAGCTCCAAATCACAGGCCAGGGTTGGAGGGTCTCACTGATACTTTTTAGGTAAGTAGTCCCCTATTAAATGTGGGAAAACTGGCAGTAAAGAGTGGCCCATTCCTTCTTCAGGATGTGACATTACAAGGCAAAATGTGTCCACCTATCCCACAGCTCAACATGCATGTTAAATATTTGACCTAGTATCAAACAAGTACACTTTCAGTCCACCCTGTGTGGTTGGCCTCCCTCAGGTAGCTGCATACCTAAGGGGACTGTTGCGAATATTGGACCTGCCTCCCTTTCATCCCAGCATATGGCAGGGCAGTGGAGGGAAAGGGGTCATGTGTTCTGACAAGCCATCGCAGCCAACCCAAGAATCTGGTGTGACTCACTCAGGTGTTCACAGGGCCAGATCCTCATCACTATCCAGGTCCCACCGGAGAGAACTTCAGGGCCCTTCCCTGTCCCTCCTCCTTTTGCTTTTTGTCTCCCACATGGCTCCCTGCAGAGCCCTCAGTACTCTCTCTCATTCCGGGTCTGCTATCCAGACTAAAACTCCATCCATGCCCGAAGACACGAGTAGTTTCCACCTCACAGAAAAGCAAGGGACACAGAGAGAGAGAGAGAGAGAGAGAGAGAGAGAGAGAGAGAGAGAGAGAGAGAGAGCTGCCAGAGTCTCCTGTAACTCAGACCTCAAGTAGAGCCAGACCTGAGGGCTAAAGTAGCCTGCTCACCTGGGTACTGGCCTCTGACTGAGACAAAGGGTTTGGGTCCTGCCCTGAAAGCCCTCAGGCATGGTCCTTGTAGCTTATGGCAAGAGATGAAACCAGTGATCACTTTTATCTGTCAGCTGACACTTTTATCTGTCAGCTGACTCTGAGCTGTGCCGAACTGCTCTGCCAGGGTCAGGTAAGAAAGCCCAGCAAGAGGCCAGGCTGCTCTCTCCATCCCCCCCCCCCCCCCGCTTTCCTCCTCGCCCCTTGTCTGTCCCTAGATGCTTCTTACTGGGATCCTGGCCATCTCCCACCCTGTATGGCCTCAGCTAAAGGATAACTAAATACACCCATTAGGGTGTCATCACCTACCAGCATCCACAGTGACCCTGAGAGAGTGAGATGGCTGGCATGAAGGGACAAGGGACCAAGTTCCAGATTTACCTTTTATTTTTGTGATGGGTATGTATTATTTTTTACATTAAACATTAAAACTAAGGAGCCAGAGACGGGTCAGTGGTTAAGAGTGTGACATTTCCCCCACCCCCCATCCCACCACCAAGAGATGACACTAAGCACTGAATAAGACAACTGACTTCATTTCCCTATCAAGGATGAGGGCTCTACCCAGTAAAGGGAATGGTCAGTCCTCAGCAAATCACAAAAATGTGCATATCACCCCTCCCATCAGATATTACCTCTAATATGGAAAACTGAATCAAGGCAAGGGAACAAAGGGACAGCATTGCTGGCATATGATTATGAAACATAAGTGACATTCCAACAAACAGAATGGGCCCCCTGGACCCATCTGAATGTTCCAGACACAGGCATTTGTGAGAGCAGAAACAGCCATGAACACACAAGTCCTGGGAGCCTCAAATGAAACAGCCTCAAAGCAAAGTTCACCTTAGCAGCCAGATGTGCTACTGTACAAAATTATTTTTGAGCTTTGTTCTTTTGGGATGGGTTCTCACATATCCCAGGCTGGCCTCACACTCAGTTTGTAGACAAGAATGACCTTGTACTCTTGGTCTGCCTCCACTTTCCCAGTGCTGGGATTGTAGGGGTATGTAACCACATCTGGCTTATATGGTGGTGGGGTTCAAAGGGTTGTGGGCAGGCGAGATGGTTCAGTGGGCAAAGGTGCTAGCCATCAAAGCCTGATAACCTGAGTTTGATGCCCAGAGTCCATATAGAGGTGGAAGGGAGAAATTAATCCACAAATGTGTCCTCTGGCCTCCACACATGCATGTGGCATGCACACGTATGAGCAAGCTCGTGGGGTTTTTTGTTTGTTTGTTTGTTTGTTTTGTGGTTTTTCAAGACAGGGTTTCTCTGTGTAACAGCCTTGGCTGTCCTGAAACTCACTCTGTAGACCAGGCTGACCTCAAAGTTACAGAGGTCCCCTGTTCTGGGATTAAAGGCGTGCACCACCACCACCCTACAAACAAGCATATGTTTGGCATATGTTTAAAATAACTTTCTTTTTTTTGTTGTTAGTTTTTTTTTTTTTTTTTTTTTTTTGAGACAGGGTTTCTCTGTATTGCTTTGGAGTCTGTCCTGGAACTAGCTCTGTAGACCAGGCTCACAAAGATCTGCTTGCCTCTGCCTCTCGAGTGCTGGGACTAAGGGCATGTGCCACCAATGCCCAGCTTATTTAAAATAACTTTTTAAGAGAGGTTTGTGGAAAGAGGTTAGTCTTGGGGACAGGGATTGGCAAGCTGACCCAACCCCACTACAGTATGCCAATCCTGTGACTAGGACCCCACAGTAAGAGCATCACAGCCTTGTCACACATGGTATTCCATTTGCCCCCAGTGACACCCTCAATGAGATCAGCAACCCCATAGCTGCTTTCATGGACTTTAATGAGCCACAGAGGGGAGTGAGGACCCAGGGCAGTCACCTGGGGTGGGAAGCAGAGGGATAGGGGTGGCCAGGGGCTCAGAGAGATGGGGAGGCAAAAGGACAAGGCTTCATCCGGGCCGGAAGTAGCTCAGTTCTCAGGAACATACTGGTGGATCCATTCCAAGTAGTACGTCACCCGGGTGTAGATGCCAGGATGGTTGGCCTCTGCGCAGCCCTCACCCCAGCTGACCACACCTGCTTGCAGCCAGGCACCATTGACTTTGCAGACCAGCGGCCCGCCTGAATCACCCTGGGGAAGATACAAATTAGTACTCCATATGGAGACTGGATGGGGTGGGGTTCAAAGGATGCTGCAGAGGCACAGGACCCACCTGGCAGGAGTCTCTCCCAGTATTCCCAGCACACAGCATATCATCACGGACAATGAGAACATTGTCCCCTGTGGAGAGGCCAGTGTGGTACTTCCGATCACAGAGGCTATTTTCCACAATGGGCACCTTCACTTGCTTCAGCGGATACGGTGGCGGAAGAGACTCTGGGGTGAGAGAAGTGCAGCCTTTGGGGGAAGCTCTTCCCTGGCCAGCCCTAGGAACCCCTGCCCACCCTCCATTGTCTGGCAGCCATCCCTGTCACATACCATCCTTATCAATGTTGCCCCAGCCTGTCACCCAGCATGGTGTCCCTGAAGGGAAGGTCTCCATGGCAGGAGGCAGGGATACAGGCTGGACATGGCTGGAGACATTCACAGGGTCCTCAAGCTCCAGCAGGGCAATGTCTGCCCCGTCCTCGGCTGAATAGTAGTTGGGGTGCACAATGATCCGGTTCACAGGCAGCAGTTGGTCCTGATAGTATAGATGCTGCTCGCGAAGCTGCACCCGGAAGTGCTCTGGGCTTTGGATGTGCCTGGAAGAATACAGCCCTGTTTGGAAGGCTCCAGCCTTGACCTCAGGAACACAGGGGACCATGGGAGAAATCTTGACTCCTGTCCCTCATCATACCAGGCCCAGGGATACTCACGGTCCCACACAGTGTGCCGCAGTGAGCACCCACTGTGGGTGGATGAGGGAGCCTCCGCAGCAATGCATCCAGTAGCTGAACTTAAGTCTCAGGCTAACCTGCCAGGGCCACTCACTCTCAGAAGCTTCTCGTCCTCCCACAATGCCCACTCGCTGCTCAGCTGGGCCTGGAAAAGGGCAAGGGGGCAACCTCAGCATCCTGGCTTGCTCCTCCCTGTACTGGAGCAGCGATCCCTGAGATCTTCCAAATTCCCCCATAGCCGGGATGGCTCATGATAGGACTCACGAGGGGCGGCATGCAACAGGTTAGCCAGGAGGGGCAGCGCCCACAGCAGCAGCTTCAGCATCTGGAGGAAGTGAAGAATTCAGTGTGAGTTCAGCTGGAAGAAGGACTGGACTGAGATTGGCAGAGTATCATCAAGTCCAGAATGCAGCCAGGGCCATGAAATAGAGGGTAAGTTCAACCAGGGAGTCTGGGGTCTGGTGTTCCAGGTCACAAAGGTCACAAGCTTCAGGGTAACAGACAGATGCCCAGGTCTCTGGGAAGGACTTTACCTTGACAGTCTCTGCTCCTCTCTTCTCTGCATGCTGTCCTCTGCCTTTTATTTTTCTAGATCAGAGTGCATAAGAGGAGGGGCACACCACCCTCCAATCCAGACACGAAGAGGATGATTTCAATCAAAGGCCCCCATGTAACATATGCCCCCTCCGCCCAGATACCCTTCTGATGTCCACAAGTCATAAGACTGAGTGCACAATCAGAAGACCAGCAACATACCCTGTGTGGAGTTTTGGTGTATCAGGCTATGGAGGACAGAGTTCTGGTATCCAACTGGTCTCTGCTCAGGGTCCACCAGGTCTACTGTTTGTATTGGGGGTCCCAGGGGATCCCACTATGGGCAGAATACTGCACACTGAGGGTCCCTCTCAGCTGAGTGCCTTACACCACCGATGGCACCCTTTCCAACTGTTGAGATGAGGATCCTGTCCTCTGCCCAGGGATTCAGGGGAGGTCTCACAATAGCTCCTAGCTCAGTGTCACCCTATAATGACATGTTGGCACACTCTAACATATTCCCTAAAAGGGATATAGGACAGGAGATAGTGCCTGCAAGCCACCCCAAAAGGAACAAGGGTAACAGTGTCATTCATCTTAAGGCCTCTGAGTCCTTTGGGTCAGGCTCAGCTTTCCTGGACAGTTTTAGGGAGAGGGTCACACAAGAACCCTTGTCAGAATAGTAGTCAGTTTTGGCAGGGAACAGGACCAAGTGACCCAGCCCAAGGCGTCCCGCTGCCCCACCTCTCCAGATAAAGGTTCTGAGAGAATGTGTTGCTACCCTGGAATCTGAAAAGAAAGTCCCACCTCAGAAAGATGATAAGAGATGGCACAATCTAGATCTGCATCACGGACATCCTAGAGATGAGAAGATCTTTAAGTGTGAACTTTCCAAATGTAACTGAAAATAATTGGTGGTTTATTGTAACCACAGAAACGACAATGTAGTATCCTTACAGCTACTGCTAGCAAATGATACTGACTTCTAAGTTTATTTTCCAATTGCTGGTAAAGTATGATTGAAAGCTGATTTTGTGCATTGTAGCCTTGCTAAATTTTTTGTTTTGTTTTTCATGACAGGGTTTCTCTGTGATATAGCTCTGTCTGTCCTGAAACTCACTTTGTAGGCCAGGCTGGCCTCAAACTCACAGAGATCTGCCTGCCTCTGCCTCCCAAGGACTTGGGTTAAAGGTGTGTACCACCACTGTCTGTCCGCCTTGCTAAATTTGGGCATCACTATGTTTGCAGAACTCTGAGGTTTTCCTATGCTACAACCATCTGGAGTTACCTGCAAAGCCTAGATTTCTCCTAATGCTGCAGTTCATGGTATCTCCAGAAGAGGGTATGCCAGACCAGGAAGGAGGCTGTGGAGCATCCACTAGGCCTATTGCCTAGGTGCAATGCTAACTGGGACTCCCCTAAATCACCTGTTGTGTAGTGACTTTGAGTCCAGGCTATGCAAGGGCCCTCACAGGGTTGTAAGAGAGCGCCCCCTAGTGTGAGCAAGAGTAAACTGGGTGAACCAGGATGGGCAGACCCTCTACACGACCTTGGCACTCTAAACCTCAGTTTCCCCCATGAAGACATAAAGCAGAACTACCCAGAGCCTGAGATGGAGGCAGAACCAGGATTGCTAGAACCCTAAACTTACTCAGTGTGTGACCTTTGCCCTCTTCTTTCTTGGAGGAGGGGCAGAGGGATAATGTAGACCAGCAGTTCAAGATGGGAAAGTAACCCTGGCTGACCCTTAGAGGAGGATTGTAACCAAGAGCTTGCAGTTTTCACTATAGGTGTACAAACATAAATAGGAGGTGTGAGTGTGTGAACATGGATGTTGTACACACGGTATGTGTTGCAGAGCACTGTCCTGGCAGCATGACAGCCATCATCTTCATCAGAACAGCTTTAACTGCTTACAAGAGTCTCTCAAGATCAGGCCTGACTGTTGACTCATTTCAGGAAGAAAAGGGTGGGGGGTCATTGGACACTCTGGCCATTTATTTGTATGCTGTTGTACTCCAAATGCACATAGCCTCATGGGCTGGGGAGGTCCTCTGTGTATAGACTATGACAGGTTAACTGGGGGAGGGGGAATCTTTGCCCATGTCGAGGTGAGAATGTTAGATGGTACAACTACTTTGGGGCCACCCGCCCTCGTGTAAGTAATCCCTTATCTTTGTTCTATAAGAAAGTCCAAGAAACTCATTGGTTCCCCAAGTCTGACTCTGGAATTATGCTTCGGTTTGTCATTAGTGTTCATATAAGGAAGGGTTGGTGTTTGTTCAAATTTCCCCAGAAAGAGTCCACTTAACAGTATGTGTGCCCATGTGCATTGCATCAGCACATACGTGTGTCTGTGCATTGTGTGTGCACACACATGTGTATTCCCTAGTTTTGTCCCCCAAGAAGGGACAAAAGTGCAGACACTCCATGAGCTACATAGAGCACCCATCCCCAGATATGGGTTTCTAAATACCATTTGCCAGTGAAAGGAGCTGGACTTCATGGAGAAGTTTCTGGATCAAAGGAAGTTATTTTGCATAATTAGATCATGTAAAAGAGATAGAACAGCAGCCTGAAGACAGAAGCCAGCTTGCAGGAGGCCCTGGAGTCCCAGTCGGAACCCTGCATAGCACAGGGGACAGAAACTGGGGAAAGAAACACGTGGAGATTCATTGACTAAAATAGAAGACCATGAGTCAATGTAGTATTGATAAGTAATTGATCGAAATTCTGTTAAGACATCAGCTAGAGTTTTTCCCTCCACCCTAAGTGCACAGTAATTAGAAAGTTGAACAGAGGACTTCTCCTGGGGAAGCCGAAGACCCTGAATCAAACAACAAAAACAAACAAGAGGAACTGAAATGGGGTATTTGATAAAACACAACTAGAACTCAGAATCACATCTGTGATGTTAGCATCAGATGTCCGACTTCAGTCTAATTGTGAGAAATATCGGAAATCCCTGCTTGAGTAGCATTCAACAAAATGCAATCCTAAGAAGCTTTGGAGTCAGAAAGTCCCAGGAAAGGGACTGACTAGTCCAGGGGTCAATGTCACACTGGCAGGATTAGGGGAGGGACCAAGGATACCCTGGGATATTCTAGGCTGGCTCCTTTTGCTTCCCCGTTCCCACTGAGGTGGTAGGGGAGTATCACACAATGCCTGAGAATTCCTCAGTAACAGTATCCTTAGCTGTGTCCTGACTCAGGTGGCTGTGGGGTAACACCATTAAAAAAAAGCACCAACATGACCACCACCACCCCCACAAACAAAAATGCTGCTAGTGAAAATCTGAAGGACTATCACAGTCACATAGTCCAAACTCTTAAGTGGTCCAGAGATGAAACCCTTTGGACCAGACCCATGGCTGTTCATAAAATTTGTGGCTATCAAATTGTATGTGTGCATGTTTATATGTGTGTAAATACAGATGCACCTGTCTGCACATATATGTCATTTCTCAGGAGCTGAAAGTGGGGCTTGGCACACAGTGCGCGGGACAATGAGAGCTCCCTACTGGACAGAACTGGTGCAGTTGCTTTTGCAGGGAAGAAGGACAGACAGCTGGATCAGAGTCACACTGTGCAGGCCTGGCTCTGTTGAAATTTGCTCTGTAGACCAGGCTGACCTTGAACTCACAGAGATCTACCCACCTCCGCCTCTGGAGAGCTGGGATTAAAAGTGTGTGTCACCACCACCACCACCACCACCCCCAGCTGAAAGGTGTTTCTCTTACTTGGTCTTTAACAAAATTTATTTTCATTGAGGTAAAATTCACATAGTCACATAGCGTAGAACCTGTCATTTTAAAATGAACATGCCAGTGGCGTATGCTGTGTTCATAGTATACTGAGACAATGACCTCTGTCTTCTTATATGACAATGTCACCACCCAGAGAAGAACCTAGACCTTTAAAGTCGCTCATTCTATCTGCCTCTCAGCCTCTGTTGCTTCCTAAATCTATGGATTCCTGATTCTAAACATCCCACATGAGTGGCATCAAACAACAAACTCATGCATGACCCTGTGTGTCCAGCTTCTTTGGCTTCACGCAGCACAGTCAAATCAATGATGTTCTCCAATGAACTAGTGAGTGCTTCCTTCCTTCTGTGGCCAACAGTCTTTTAATGTGTGGGTGCCCCTCACTTTGCTCATTGATTCCTCCTGTGGTGACCAGTTAGGAGTTTCTGCCTTTGTCTATTAGGAATGATTCTGCTGTGAGCATTACGTTGCTGTACTTAAAGGGTTGTTCTCCACTTGACCAGCAGGCCAGCTTCATTGCAATGTGAGGTACAGGTCTATGATGGCTAATCATCAGTGTTAACATGACAGCACTTTGAATCTCCTAAAGACATGTCCGTGGGCAAGTCTTTGAGGGTGCAGCCAGAGTGGTTTAAATGAAGAGGAAAGAAAGACCCACCCTGAATGTGAACACCATCATCCTAGGGCTAGGGGCCTGGACCGGATAAAAGAGGGGAAAGGTGAGAGACAGCTGAGCACTGGTCTTTACCATCTCACTCTGCTTCCTGATTGCATATGCGGAGTGACTCCTGCCACCACACTTTTCCTGCCACCATCAGGGACTATCTATGCCCCTTCTCAAATCATGAGACAAAATCAATCTCCCCTTAAGTTGCTTCTGTTTGTTATTTTATCACAGCAATGAGAGAGCAGTTAGTATAGGGTCTGCTTTTAGCCTTGCATGTTCGGGGACCTAGTCTCCTAGTGTTTTCTATCACAGATGCGTAAAGGAGAGATGCAGGGTGTGTGGTGATTAACTTACTCTT